CATGATTTTCGCGAGCGAGCTCCAGCGATTGATTCCGATCTCACCGTCTGCTCCGGCGTCTCTCATTAACTTCCCCTCTGAGATGATGGATTTGGTGCGGTCAAGCCCTCCTCCTCCACCCGAGCCGCCAAACCCACCAGATCCTCGAGCGAGACATGCAACTCCGCCGTCGCAATCCGAGCATAATGCTCTTCGCTTTCTATCTAGATCGGAACGGCACCAGATCTAGAAGCCCAGATGGTTCTCGAAGCTGGATGTGGCTATCAACGGAGTGCCGCTCCCTCCGCCCTAAAGGATATGAACCGGACTCTGAGACCCGTCGGTTCTCCTTCGACAAAGCGGATCTAGCCTTCTCTCCTCAAGGGAACTCATCATTGGGCACTCCACCCTCCCCTCTGTCCAGCCTTCAAAGAAAGGCATCCTTCACATCGGCTTCGCCCGACTGTCAAGGAAGATGCTCCGGCGAGACTGGAGATTTTGCTCCGACCATCCCTGCTATCTAATCTCCTCCAAGACTCTTTTTGTTTTGGGTTTTTTGGGACTGGCCCAACACTACTTTTGGGCCCAATCTACAATATCTGGCCCATCCCCCCAGCCTGACCCTCCAACCAGCCCACACGACTTTTGCTATCCGATGCCCCCCAATCCACAACGGTTGGGCTTGCCAAATGGATTTGGGCCCATTTCGAGATTATATTTTAAGCTTTATTTGATTATGTTTAAAATAACGTCAGTTTCATCATCAAGCCATATGTCCTCTCTCGTTTTTAGAAAATCAAAGTTTTATGGATTCTCAAATTCTGTAGTTTTGCTTGATGATATCTCATCTGTTAAGAGAGAAGACAAAAGTTTTATGGATTCTCAAATCCTGTAATTTACTCTCGGTGGATGAGTTCAACTCCACCTTCTATTTCTTTGAGATAGGTTATATCTTCTTCTCTCTCTTGGAGAGTGGTCGAACTCCTGAGTTTTATGTCAGGATTTTCAAAGTCACAGTGTAAAGTGACTAACCTGAGAATTTCCGGCTTTGTCGCGAAGACCCTCTTGACGTATCTGAAGTATGCCTTGAAGTCGTTGTCCATCTTCTACGATGATCTATCTGCTTTATGTTTTATTGCATTTCAATTATATTGTAATGTTGGAGGATGTTCAATTCTCTCCCTTTGTACTTTAATCGGTTAAATGAACGAAGTAAGATTGTTTAACAAAAAAAAAACTAATCTCTATTTCGTTCACCAACGTCAAATTTCTTGCGACACAATTTGTCAACAGTGGAAAGTAAGACTGAAAACGATAAACAATGTAAATTTTGAACGTCATCTTTTTTCCATGTTGTGAATGGGAAAAAATAGGGAAATTGACAAATATAACAAAAAAAATTATAATTAATTCAGTAGCCAAAATTACTGTTCAAGTTGTATAATATTTATTATGGACTATTTTGCCCTTCTGGTAATGTGTTCTATTCAATTTACTTCTACATACTATAGTACATAATGAATTCTATAAATTTTGTTAATTTCAAGAGTTTCTATATTTTGGATTTGGGTTAACTATTTTAGT